ATATATAAGTACTTAATGTATATCTAAGTGCCTCGATTAATATTAATCAATTCTAAACTATCCGTTCTAGTTAAAATTGTAATAACATTGTTTCAGTGGAAAATTAGAAAATGATGCAAATATGTACAATTTGTAATATATTACGATGTATATATGCAAGGCCTGTCCTGTCCTCCAATCCGCATTATTTGTTCTTATCAGTTTAACATTTACTTAAGCCTGATGAATGCAAACAGATACGTAGATAATTTGTGTAAGGGATACCGCGCCGACGTTTGTAAACGACCACTTCAATGTCAAGGGTAAATGTAAATCTGCGGAGTCCTGGCTGGAGGTTGCGAGGTCCCTCTGTGCCTTGAACGCTAGTCATCCTGACCTTGCTTATAATTTAATGCAATCTTCGCACATTACGGATGGGTTAAAGAGCCACGGGAGACTCGCAGTTGTCCTCCCAGGGCTGAGTGCCATTTTCCAAAGCAACGGCTGCTGCACCCTGCTGCACCCCGCTGCTTACTGCTGCACCCTGCTGCACCCTGCGGCACCCTGTATAATGTTACGAAAGGGGGGCATTGCCCTAGTTGGAGGCCGGGGATGTGCATTGCTCATTCTGCCGCAAGTAGCAAGCCGGTCGCACGTGCGCCAATTCAGACGGCGGACATCGGGCGCCCACATAAGGAACTTGGCTTCCAAGTGCGTGCCCGCAGTCAACCACGTGTGTTTTGTGCATTGATATGGCATTGTTTACCACTGCAATGGTTTACTGTTTAACTGGCCCAGTGGCTCAGCGGTGGAGCAAGCAGGTCGCAGTCGGAAGGTTTGCGGGCTCAAATCCTGATTGGGGTTTGACTCGGCCCATCATCCCTCTGGGGTCAATAAAACGAGTGCCATTTTGTGGGTAAGTCAGAAGTGGTCGTCCTGTGGAGAGACTCACCCCCGGCATAGGATTGTGGAACGTCCGCTCATGCCCGAGGGCTGTAAAAAGGAGATGAGCACCACCATAATGCAAATTTGAGCAGGAAATCACTTTCAATTTTACTTCAAACCCAGCACTTCAGACTTGTCTTCCCAGACGACAGCCACTTGCGTGCTATTGGCTACATACCCCCCGCATCCTCCGCAATCCGCTGCATGAGAGCCTGGGTGGCCACGGTGGTGGAGGTGAGGGGCGGGGGGGGGGGCATGGCGGTGAAGGGGGTGGGGGGTGGTGCGTGACCTCCCTCTTTAGCCCCGTCCTCCCGCACGGCATCTGTGATGATGTCCTCAGGCGGTAACAAACGAGAACCCCGCTGCCCCACGCGTACCCGCTTCCCTGCTTAACACTCTGCCGGGGTTTTGTCCCGGGGTTTTTTTTTTGACCGATCGATGGCGGTCAATACGGTCAAGACTAATTGCCTGTCAGAGGCCCTGTCCCTGAGAGACCGCCGCTTTGTAATGGCACATGCGACTGTTTTTATTGTGCCATACCAAACTCTGCCGGTTGAATGGGGGTTATGAAGTTTATTTTACTTCAGCGGCGCAGTGTGTTGTCATGTTATTTGGTTTTCGGGTTTGTACACTTTCCCTGCTGCTGCATTTGTTCACCTTTTAAAGAGTGGAACCCAAATCGAGGGTGTATTGATGGTTTTTAATGTGGTCTACCTTGTCTTTAACATTGCACAATAACCTTGTCGATATGTCCCATTATGGTGCCTTAGTTTGGTTCATTAAACCGTAGCGTGTTAAAGCGAGTTCTAATAAACAAAATAACCTTTGTGTGCTAAATTTAAATTGATCGTTTTAAACCTGTATAATGAAGTGTAACTACTGTTTCTTCAAAGCAACCTCTTTACCTGTGTTTCATATATACCCAGTTACATGGGTGTATTTTTAGCAAGCCCATTATCACACAAAACTTATTACATTTTGTGTTTGTGAGTGCTGTAGAAACCGCTATTATTTAGCCCTACACTTGCTTATAGATGAAGGAATATTGGTTCATTAAAACAGCGTGCCCTACAAAGCAATATTTCCTGTTTAGTAATTACTTAGGCATGCACTGTGGGCGTTATTCATATTTGAAACTGCACAAGATATTTTATTTCAGCGTTTACAAGCTCATTAATAAATGGGTTACCATGAAAACAACCTTCTTTCCTTAGGGCACTTTTATCGGTCAGATACATTATTAATACACTAATGTTAAAATAAGATATATTTCTTAAATCGTCAGACCGTTAACGAATTTTCCAGATGTGCACCTGACATTTCCTGCTTTTTTTTCACTTGACGCATTTTCCAGCGACTCCTTAGCAGCGCAACTTGCGGTAGTCGGTTGCAGTGCCGTTGCTTCCTGTTTTCATTTTCCCCGCATGAGAAACACAATTGCTCGTGCCATTAAGAACTAACTGCGCCAATAAATCGTGGACGAGCGTTTCCGCCTGTCTGTGCTCTTTGAGGACACATGAATTGAGAATAACTTTTCTATTAGCGATCAAATAAATAAATAACAGATGGAGCTGGAAGACCAAAAGCACCGGGACCTATGAGGGAGGCAAGTGTGTGTGTGTGTGTTGAGTTCAGTTGTGCTTTAGGGTGGGCGATGCATCAGATGGCGGTGATATGGAGTGACTGGGAGGATGGCAAGTGTTAAAAATAACGGCGTATTTAAGCATGTATTGCAATATATTGTTTAATATTTCTTCCAAATTGCGTCACAATCTTGAGTTTTTCCCAATTCATATCGGTGCACGTTTCGGATTGCGCAAGGGGAAAAAGAGCAACACGTGGATTCGAGAACATATATCGATTCATGATGTGATGTTGATCTTTAAAATGCCGGGGGCCGGTGTGCGATGCGTCGCTGGAAGGGATGATGCCCCGCTGGCGATGATAGCGACAGAGTGGCAGCCGAAGGAGGGAACCTGTGCGGAGGTACGGCCGCCACACAGATGAAACGATGAAATCGTCTCATTTACAGGCGCTTTGGCGGATTGCTACATTGCTAGACCCTGTCAGAGGTGGCGTCGGCTTGGGGAGGCCTTCATCCAGCAGTGCATTGGTTATGGCTGGCGATGGTGACGGTGATGCATGTTCGATACGAATCTTGGATGTTTTCAATGGAAGCCACCACTGTGGAAGTGCGTGCAGGCAGACCGTTCTGGATTTTCGGCCGCGCACGCGCGCGCGCTTGTGGAGCGATGGCGGTGGAGTTCGCTCCGGCCGGCGCTTGCGGGTGCTTGGGGCTGGGGCAGGTGGCCGGGCCCGGCACTTGCGGCCACGTGGCAGGAGCCATCGCTCGCGCTGGCGGGCAGTCCGCGCGCGGGGTTGTTGGCGGCTCGGGCGCCCGTGCGGGCGGTCACGTTTCGGGACGTCGAGCCAGCGCGCAAGTGGGTCACCGGCTCGCTCGCTCGCACGCACGCACGCAGGCGTCGTGCGCCGCTAGGGTGGGGAAGCGGGAGGCGAATGTGAGTGCGGGTGTAATGAGGTGCTAGACAGGCAACCTGCGGGCAAGCTCGCTTGTTAGATGTGGGCCGGGTTGGCGAGCCCGTCTCATTGCTTGTTGCCACCCACGCCACCTGAGCCTCTCCTTCTCCAAACCCCCCCCCCCCCGCCGCCCAACGCTCCGTTTTTTTCCCACTGTCCTTGCCCGTGTCCCCCAGTGCTCACACCGATGCTCTTGTCCACCTCTGTGACCGACTGCTTTCGCTGCATCTGCATGTGCCTCCGCCCCGTGCCGCGGCGGGTGCTGCTGATGCTATTTGTGTACGTGAGTGAGTTATAGCGGGTCATACCACAAGGCCGTAAAATATGATGTATCGTGTTGAGAGAGTGCAAGTGTAATTCCCACAGGACATGCTTCTGGGCACTGGCACAACTAATCCACATTCTCTGTAGTCATATTTTTCACCAGCCCCTGTGACTTGCAATATTAATGCAATGAATTCATTTTTCCTGGTTTTATTATTTTTTGTATCAGCCACGTTTGGGCACAATGAAAACTGCCAGTTATAATTTGCCCTTAAAAGCACCTCTATATTTCGAGTGTTGCTTTTGATTATTTGATGGTATTTGCGATTTTATTTTAGTCTGGGAGAAGTTATTTATTTATTTCTTATTTACACATAATCAGCCATTTCCTCTACCTCTTCACATTTGCCCCATCTCCCGCTCTACTTTCCTTACCCACCAAAGCGTCGCCACTTCTATTTTTCTAATATTTTCAATTGCCTTATCGCAGTTGTAAAGCAATTACAGACGTACGTCTGCGTTTATTACGGTGCGCATTTATTAACGCTTTGGAGAAAGATGTCGACTGGAACGCATCTCTTGTTCCAGTTGTCTCCGCCCCTGTGTGTCGGTGAGAGATTACGAAATACTGATGGCTATTACACCGAGGAGATAAGCCTCACCCCTCCGTGCCGACGGCTTGGCGGTGGAGCAGTACAGCCGTGAAGCGGAATCTCATTAGCAAGACGCCGGCAGTGCCTTTTAAAAAAAAGAACCTCCCTGAAAAAAAAAACCCCGCGTCGTTCTGGTTCTGTTGAAGGCGGCATGGCCGCGTCTCGTGGAGGGGGGGGGGGGAGAGACGAGGGGGTTGGGCTACTTCTACGGGAGGGGAACCAGGGAAGGGGTAGAGAGCGATTGCGGCAGTCTCGGTGGCAACAGAATGAAAAAACCGACGGTCGGTTAAAGCCGCTCGCTGCGCCGAGGGCTCTCGCTCGCTCCCGACGCGCGGAGTGCCGAGAGGGATTAGCCAGCGCCGGCAGCGGCGTTCCCGGCGCGGTCGCCGTGTCGCGAAGCGTCTCGCGAAATTGGGCCCCCCCCCCCCTCCACCCGCTTCCGAAGGGCAGACGGTGCAACTCTTGATGTGGCCGGCACGGGGAGGGGGCTGCCGGGTGGCGGTGTCCGGTTCCGTCGGCGGGTAAATATGAAGAAAATCGTACCGTGCCTGACCTGCTGTATCGGCGGCACTCGCGAGTTCGGCGCACAAGACTACATGTACGTCTCTAGCAGGTACTGCTGGCACGGTACCAGCGCCGGTGTTCGTAGTGAGGGACTGCATGAGAACTTGTGTGTGCGTTTGTGTGTGTGTTGGCGAGTGCTCGCTCGCAGCACTTGCCCCCAACAGTCTGTTTGGCTATACAGGGGGGGACCTTTGTCTCTGTAATATAGTGGGAAGCGGTAATGCAGCGCTGAGCGTGCTGCGCTACGAACCGGGGCCACCTGCGTTCGATTCCCGTTCGTGGTCACGATCGGGGATCATTGTCTGGAGACGCGTTCCTGGGGCCTCTTCGTTTGACTCAACCTTTATTGAGTAGTATCGGTGTGGTTCTTAAACATCAACACTTGGGAGGCAAAGGTGGCCGGGTCTGCTGCTGGCAACGTCATCCCTTGGCATGCCATGCCGGTCTTTATAGGCGTTCGCTAACAACACTTGCACCAACAGTCTATATCCCCATGTAAAGGATGTTTGTGTAACACAGCTGTGTGCATAAAGTAGCACTTTAATGTGTGTGTGTGTGCACGCGCGTGCGTGTAGCTTTTGAATGAGTTCAGCTTATACCCAACTGCCTGGGTGTGCGCGTGTTTCTCCAGTACGTGTGCGTGCGTAGGAGTTCCCATTGCGCGAACACGCTCCCTTGCGTCCGCTCGCGTACGCTCAACATGACTGCCACCTCGCTTTGTTCCCTCGTCAAACGCAGGCGAGCGCTTGCCTCTGCGAAATACATTACGGGGGGGGGGGGGGGTTTAAAACATACACGAAGCGCCTGCTTTGCTTAGTTACACGCACGGCGGGGGGAATAATAAGTCAAGAAAAATAACGGAAGACGATGGTAAGATAACTACTCGTGGGTTCGTCTTGCTTACGGTCAGGGCATTGGTTTTTGTGGCTGGCTGCCATCGTGTGTCCCTCCCCTCATCGCCCCCACGCTCCCAGTCTCCCATGCATCTGTTGTTTTGTACGTTGCGCTGCCTTAACATTGGGCACATCTAATGAGACGCATCTGCTGCCAACAGCAATATCACACTCTTCACCCCCCAAAACTCTCTCTTGTTAGGGTTCAGCTCCCGTTGTGTCACCACCTGAAAAATGTTTTTTTACAGCCTCTCCTATTTCTTATTTTGTTGCGTTTAACCCATTTCTCGTTTCATCTGGTTGTATGCGCTGTCGTCACTATGAATGGTCTGGGTTTCTTTTTTTGTGAAATACCTCACGATATGTATTTAATTATATGATACTTTCACGAAACATCGGTGGTGCTTTGCATAGAAATGTACAATTTGCGCGTGCTCTTTGTGGCACTCGTGTGTGCCGAATAGATTGGTGAGATGTTTGTGGGTTGGCCTGTTTCTGCGTTTCAGATCGCAATTCATGAATGGCTGTATCAGAAAATGCCATTTATTATCCCCTTGAACATTTATAACTTTCACGGAGAGCTGCTGTGATATATCGTGCAATTGCTATGCAGCAGAGCAAGCAAACTATAAGTCTCGTGCGCCTTTCAAGACCTGTGTCGGTCTCCCGTGATGGACCTATCCCAGACAGATTGGAAAGACGTCGCTCCTCGTTAACATCGTCGGTTCGTTGTTTTTTTCCCCTTCCCCCGGTGTTGTGTTGGCAGCTGCTCCAGAGTCCGAACGGATACGCGTGGCGCGTGCTTTGGAGCATTTTAGACCCGGGTCATGTGCCCAGTCCAAATGTTGCTTTGGCCTCTCCAAACATAAATATTCCATTCTGCTTGATGCCGAATTTAAAAATACGTACGCACGCGCGCACACGCGCAGCCCCGCTCGATAGATTTATTAAAGCACGTATCCGCAGCGTTTGTAAAATAGCTCGTTGGTTTATTATCTCGGAAGCATAACTATAGGTTGATATTTTACTAAGGAGGGTACGTGAGGGTACGTGCTATTTCTGGCGGCATGTGTGACCACATGAGCTAATGAGAATGCACATGCACAGTAAAACATTGGAGACAAATTTCACTGAGTCCCATGTGCCCATTTTCTCTGAGATCAATTGATGTGCCTGTTCCGCTAAATACAGACGCGCTGGCTCCGATTGTCATGGTTAGGGAAATAATATTCTTCAAAATACAACGCATTTCTTCCCCTGTTATTAGTGTTCACCTCTTATTTAAATGAGCATTGTGTTACACTCATCGCTGTTTGCAGTCCTGAGATTGTGGAAGAAATTCTGCAGTACAACACTGTGTAAGCATTTAGTGGGGCCACAACTCAAGATTCTGTACAGAAACGGTGGATATAATCATTTAATACAGAGGCAGTTATAGGTAGAGTAAAACAAGGTCATGAGGCCGGACTTAAAAATGGACAGAAGGTTGACAGTTCTGATAGCTGGGGAAATTGGGCTCCAGACTCTGCGGCCAGCAGAGAAGAATCGGCAACCTCCCACTGATCGAACGTTACATGGGAGCTTCAACAGAAAGCCTCGGTTACTGGAGCTGAGAGTCCACGAAGGGTAGCAGAGTAAGGTGAGAGGTAGGCAGGGGTGAGTTTATGCATGGATTTTGAAGATGGTGAGAGCGCAACCTTAAAATTGATCCGGGATTGGAGTGGGAGCCGGCGGAGGGATCTGAGCATCGTCGTGACATGGCCCCGTTTACAGCATTTAAGATGATCTGGAGTTTGGCGATGGGGAGATTTGCTTAGGCCGCGGTGGGGAGGAGAGGGAGTTGCCCAAGCACAAAGTGGTATTCTTCAACCCAGACTGGGAGTTGCACTCACGACCCCCTGAACCGTGTACTCTACCACTGCAATGAAGTCGGATTGCGTGATGTTGTTGTCTGTATATCTCAAAATGTAATGGCTGTTGTAAACTGCTGTTAGATTGCGGTGTAAAGAGACTATCGTAGGGCTGCCAGGAGAGACTGAAATCACAGGGAATTGTAAAGTCCTTCACTAAAAAAGGTCCTCTGTGGCTTTGTTCCTGCGTGGACAAAGGACAGGACGCCACTTTGAGCAGGAAATATGTTTGAGGCTATTTTTCTGCAGCTGCATTCCGCATATGTGTGATGTCTTCAGTTAAACTGCACGTACATTTTTTTGCCAATATCCTCAAGGGCTTTGAAGAGGATACCTTGTAAATATGAATGTGCCGGACTGTGTGTGCGTCTGTACATTTGGTTATTTTATTTATTTTAACTGGGTATTTTCAATTTACTTGAACATATGTTGAATCTGACTTCCATTAACGTAAATGCACGCATTTATTTTGTTTGGAAATAAATGTAGGACTTTTATTTTAAGATGACAAGTATAATCTTTGAACGTCGATGATATTTTGTCTCAAGTCATTCAGGGTTCTTGGTTGAGTTTAGTAACCAACAGATTCGAGGTGACCCCCACAGGTAGAAGAAATATCAGATGTGAAAATTATAACAGATTAAATATTAACCTCAATAATAATTAATCCAAAGTATTAATACCTGTGAAATAAATTAAATAACTGGGTCCTGACTTTCGGGCCACCCTAAATGCACGGTAAAATTTCCGTTCAATAGATGTGGACAAACAGGGCTGTGATTTAGCATCCACGTGCATCCATCCTGTGTGAATCACAATGGGATTTGATTTGAAAAATTATCCTTGCGTCATCTTGTTTTGTATTCACATAATAGGGTTGCGACTGTTAAATATAACCACACGTATTGATTAGTCTGAATCGATTCTTATAGTCTATGATAAAAAAAAAATTGGGCATGGAGCTATATCTCCTTGAATTATTTACCACTTAGTGAGGACTTGGCAAATACTCTGTTAGGTTGATCCCTTTTGATCCCGTTTTAGGGAGTGAGTGCTCCAGTAATTTCACTTTTTTTCTACAGCATGCTAAAGAAGTCTGCACTGAATCATTGACTCAAGCGCAAGACTTGCATATCGCATCTGGATTTTTATATTTACTGTGGATGAAAAGAATATTCTTCAAAAGACTTTAAATTATATATTCATTGCCTGGTCTGGGAATAACATTATGACAATGTGATATTTCATATGACGTGTTTTTTTTTTGCATACACATCTGATATTGCTCCCGATAATACGCTATAATCACATAATGGAGCGTCAGAAAAAGCATGCTAATTAGGTGTATGATACTTTTATGGACACTGCTCCAAATCCAACAGGGATAGTCTTACCAATCCCTTGTTTACAGACGTCTGACTTAGCTTCTAGATGTTTTCAAAAAGTGCGTAGTGATCAGCGTACGTGCTAACTCGCAACAAGTGATGTGTGGAAACATTTCCCACGAACACTTCTTCATCAGCTGAAATCCGCAGCACCTCACATCAATATTCTCCAAAGTGTACAAATAAATACATTTTAAAGCACCAAACGGTGAAAAGACCGATTTATTTTAGCAGTCAACATTGTCTTGTCTTACATTAATTGTTTAAGCAGCGATCAATTCAAGAAGGCGTTTGTTTTATTGTGAAACTGCAAGCGCCGCTGTTTGTTCCGGCTATTGCCCGGCTCATTGGCATTCTGGATGGACTGGGCTTGTGTGACGGGCTACAGCCTGGCCCGGCGAGTGATTGACGCTCCTTTCGAATGTGATCATGGCCAGCTTAGGCTTGCTGCCGGCCCCACTTTCCCGCACCGCACGGCGCCATATACCACAATACCACCCTCATCCTGGCCTCTTCGGGAAAGTGGTTTTCAAGTCCTTGAGGTTTCGCACGTGGGTCTGCCAATAGTCCGCCACTGTCTCGGGTGCCAAATGTTGCACGCGTCAGCCGTCACGTTGGAGAAATTCAAAAAGCCCCCCCTCGCTCCCCCCCCCCCCCCCCCCCCCATATTTCAAAGCAAAAGCGCGAGAACGTACACGCTTGTTTACTAATTTAGAAAAAGTAAATTGCGGAGCAAAATTTTAAACGCGTCTTTCTCCATGCGATTGAAAAGGTAAATGAGATGTAAAAAAAATATATAATTATTTTTCAAAATTATAGTCATAATGGCTGTAACAAAAAAAACAACGTTCCTTTGATCAGTGAATGCCACACTAAATACATGGCTTTGAATATGGGAGATGTGTTGATTCCACCTCGGACAGCATTTCCTTTTGTCTTTCCAATGCCCAAGCTGCTGTGCTGCCTTCTCAACCCTTCCTCTCCCCACTTGGAAACAAATATTAATTTTTACCCCTTTTCAATGCCTTTCATTCTCATAGAGCATGCGGCAGGGGACAAAAAAGACGCGCTAAATGGTATCGTTTTGCGTGCCTCTGACCATGTTCCAGGCTTGTGCCGTAAATTATTCATTTGGGATTCTAAAGCGGCTTGCATAATTTATGCGGAGCGCCTTGTGGATTTCCAGTCGGGTGTCTCGTCGTCCATCCAGACAGCCGTGCCTGTAATGCGACCGTGTTGGCCCCACCGCAAATATTGATTGTTTTTGCGAGAGGGCTTCGTTATTTACATGAAAACATTCGCCGGTCGCGTGGCCGCTTGCTTGTGCAACGCGCGATGGGTTACTGAAGCCAGCAGGGTCTCACCGTAGGTCTGAATTCCTGGCGTGATGGCAAGTTGCAAGCGCAAAACATTCCCATCAGCCTTCATCCCAGCTGAAAACTTTATTTGGTTATGGCAGTTTTGTGGTCTCATGTCCATCATTGATGGGCTCCACTTTTAATGTGGGTGCCAAATGTCTCTTATTTTGAGACTGAGCCAGAAACGAGTGAAGAGAGAAGCCATGCATTATTAGACAACATACATCAAGACGGTGCCCTCTTTAAAACGATGAGTTATAAAAGGTGGATTTTGACTTAAAAACTTTCGTGACTGCAGGAATTAATATTCTTGGTTCTTTCGGT